TTATTACATTGTGTATAATTTTGCGTTTAAAAAAATTACAATGTTGTATTACAACTTCGTCGATGTTTCAGCCCGATCTCACCACATTGTAAGCGAGGGAAAAGGCAGTGATCTTGATTAATTTGCTCGCCGTCGCCGCGTTACATCATCAAGATCGTTTTCGCGATTAATCATGCAGCTGCACCGGCATCAATAACCAAAAAGGCGGCAGGTTGGACCGGCGCGTAACGTAATCTGGAAACGGCGAGTCACGTAATCAGGAAGCGGAACTGTTCGACATGATTACGACAGGGGGAGTGTCCTTATTTCGCACAATTTCGATTGCCTCGTGATACGTCCTTGGAACTTGCGAAAGCCGCTCAATGATACGATCATGATCGCCGTGACGAGGAAACGCTATCCTACGCTACGTCGAGTTGACAGTCGCCGAAATTGACACGTCGTAGCCTTCCGTGAGGTGGAACGCGCGAAGAACGAAGTTGAGACTCTGGATTATCTTGGGAGCCAGCGCTCGAAATGGCGTTGGTGAACTTTAGTTTGCCCTATCAGTCGGCGACGATGGCACCGTTTCTCTACACGGGACCGGCTGGAGGGCACACGGCGGCCAACAATCTTCGTTTGAACGCCGTGTTACCGTCGGGATCCGTGCCGACGTCTTACAACGAGCAGGAGGCTTTTCGCAATGAGCCCTACGCGCCGCCGATCAAGTATCATCAGCATCAGCAACGACGTCAGTCTGTTCAGCAGAGGAGCCGGGAGGTCTACGCGGAGCACACGTCCTTCTCGTCGACGCAGGACACTCGTTACACCGTGTATAATCAAGACTTTCGAAGAACGCAGCCGAGGCAGCAGCAACAGCAGCAGCAGCAACAGATGAGGCCGCCTCCGCCGGCTTCGTCGTTTCAGCAACGGACGCAATCGCCGGAATCGGACAAATCTCAGACGGAGGAACAGGAAAGTTTTCCGGAAAGACCTAATAGGTAAATTGAGATTCTCATCTCTTCTTCTCATTTTTTTCTCTTTCTTTGTCATCATTCTTTATATTTATTTAATTTTTAATTTCTTCTGTATGAGTTTTTTGCATTATGCACTTGTACAAAACGTTCGCGCAGATAATTGAAAAATAATCTGTTTTATTGACTATTTTTTAATTTATCCGAAGTTACACAAGGGTCAATGGTGGAAGTTCTATCGGTCCGGGTACCAAGACTTCGGTCCACGCTGTGTTGGACTATGACGATGATTTTGACGACTATTACGACGATGACGATCAAGAGATACCGGCGAATGCACAGGTCACACCTATTCAGGGTCCAATTTTTCTAAAAAATGGTTCCGTTCCTGTAGTACCGTTGTACTCGTATCCTCAATTAAATAATGGGACATTTGTGCAGATACCGGTGAGTTTCATATTTTGTGCTTCTATTTTCTCTTCAATCAAAATCAATATATATATTATATGTATTATGTACACAGTATCCCATTTAAACGCGTATTATTTAATTATTTTTCTAAACTGTTGAAGATGCAGAAAAATATATTTATATAAAAATTGATTCAAAAATTGAAATATGATAGTGCAATATAAATTAAATTTCTTTTCGAATCACTATTTGTAGAGATTCACAAATCATTTTTATGTTTTTAAATAGGACTATATATTATCACATTTATCGTCCTTCAAATAAGGAAATAAATGTATTTTTTTATTTTGTATAAACTAGACACGCTGCATATAATCATCTTTGTCTTAATAACGCGTAGCGCCGCAGATATTCATATGCGCCGAAGTATTCGAGTAAGCAAAGCGATTCTTGAATCTCGAGTTGGTGCGAGTTCGAGGATGGTACGAAAGGTAATCTCTCGACAAACGCGACCGTGGCTACAGGAACTTTCAAAGTCTATAGCACGAGTGACATTTCCCCGTAGCACCCATGACCCCGAGAATATCTTCGCTAGAATCTTGCGATGATACGATCATGTAGATGCATGCGCCGATTACATCTGTCCCGCACATGAATCCCTTTTACCTCTCGCGCATTATTCCATTTTTATTTGACCTGCTCCATCGAATGCGATGACTCCTCCATACAGAGTGCCGTGGGATCGTGGACGAATTCTTCTGAGGTCAACCATCATACTGACATTGAGATGATATAAACTCTCAACTCTTTGTATTATATATACGTATCATCGAGCATAACGATGATTGATGATTTTTCGGCTGAAACGAATAATTTCACAAAAAAAAAAGGGAAAAAATAATTGGAATCTAATCAGAATATTTAAACAAATTGCAATTAATTTAATTTCTGAAAAAAAGAGAAAAGCGCTAATTATACTTTTGACCGAGATTTGACCTTTTACCTCATATATTTAGCAGGACAGATTTTTATTGCGATGGCAATCCGGTCTTTCCGGTCCTATCTGTAGAAAATCAATTTCGATTCATAGCGCCAGAAATAGTCTTCTACGAACGAATTAGATTTGTGACTTAGTTTGCGACAAAAAAAGCAAATTTTTCGTACCGTAATCCATAATAATTTCTTCTCCATGACCTGTTTCTATTTTTCATTTTTTCTTGCAATCTCTGCCGTAGCAACTGATTGGTAAATACTCATTGCTATGATTTGCATAAATTCTTTTATGCCTGAATAAATTTAAAGTACTGTTTGCGATTGTATCTTGCAATAATTGTTATTTTGAGCAAAAGATATTATACATTCTAAACTTAGTATCACGATTCTAATTAAAAGGCCACGTCACTTTGAAATAGCTTACAACAATCTTTTTTAAGTCATCGATCTCTCATTTATCGCGACTACCGTCTGGTTTCGTGAAGAAAGTCAAGGAGAAACGTCTGCGACCTTCGTCTTTCTTTTTAGCTATTCTTTTAGCTTTTCGCATAGTTTGTCATTCCTGTAATGTTCATGTAATACCACGTGACATAACGAGCATAGTCCCATTCCCTTTTCTACAATTGAATTGAATCCAGTCTGCGGGAGTGAATCAAAAATTTTCGCATAATTGTTATTTAAAAAATAAGTATTAAAATAAATATTTAAAATTCAATAATAACTAATTTTTCTATTTAATTGTCATGTTTTTTTGAAATATTTTTTTAGCGGTTCGGCAGTTTTTTAATTTTTCGAAAAAAATTGGGTCGGGAAACTATTTATTTCAGCTGCATTATCATTAGAAAATTACCAAATTGGTTTGAGATTGAAACATTTGAGCTTTTTGTGATTTTTACCATGAAATTATCGTAAATTTTCTCGCAGTTAGTCTTCTGGCTCTGTAATCGATCTTACTCTTTCCATTGCGACATTACAGAATACCTGAGAAATTAAATTTTCCAATTTGATTCACGTTTGAGTAGCAATTAAGTATGGACTCTCTCGATATAAGGTATGATTCATTTCTTGTAGGCAATGTATCGCGACGCAACTAACAGAATTCTCTCGTATTATGAATGACGCCTACTGACTAACTGACTGGAAGCTGACTGGATGTTGAATGGAAATATGAGTGTAGGAAGACGATCTTTAATTAACCCATGTCGACTTCCGCTATAAATGTACACACAGAGAAAAAATTTTGCATTGCTGGCTTAGCACATTTCATACTGTCGCAGCGCAAATTATTTACAATTGTAATTTTAAATTGATTCTAATTCCATCATTAAAGCAATGACCGTTTTGCTGTAATAACATTCACATTAGAATGAGTCATTTTGTTTTAAAAACAATTTTTTCTTTAAGAATAAACTCACTGTTTCTTAACAAAGGTTTTTACTTTACTAACAAAATCGGCTTTGCTGTAATATCGATTATGATCGCAAAATTTGATCGTTTTCACATCGAACATGAAGCGACACATCGTTCGCTGCAAAATTCTTTGTAAATATGAACATATATATACATATCGAAATTTAGCTTAATAAATGATTGCGTATGTAAGTTTTGAACATGCGTTAAAAATTAATGGAAAAAATATATTGATTCGTAGATACTCTGGACTGCGCTTTCGGTAGCATTAGGTGTCGAGCTGAGGGGAGATTTGGTACGAGGTGCGCCATGTATCAAAAGATATCATCAATTGTTCTGTCCAACCGCTGGAAATACATATCCGATGTGAGTCTAAATAATTTTATTTCTAATTTTTTAATGCGATGTAAACTACAGTTCCTCTTATTTAAGTGCAAATGAGTGAAATTTTTCAATACGAAGAAGTATGGTAATCGTTAATGTGTAATTGGGTCATAATGTAATTAAATTTATTGTTGTAGAGAACGAATAGAGCGTTTTATCGATGAAAATAAAGCATTGATGAAGAGGATGTACGGTGACTTTGAGATGAATCCGGGATACGGATCGAGTGAACATCGCACTAGAACACGAAGAAAAAGCAGAGAAGCGCGAAAACACGATATTCCGGATGGCGGACCCAGAGATGGAAACGATGAATTGCGTTTGGACAGCGAGATCGACGAGGAATATTTCAAAAATAGAAATACCAGACAGTCGTTTGGAAAAAATCGCAGCTCAGAGAGCGGCAGGTGAGAATTCAGAATGGTTCTTCTCGTAAACATCTATTATTATTATTTCATATATCTATTACTATTCTTATTTTCTTTTCATCTTGATTTGACGCGCGATATTTATTATAATATGTTATTTTTATTAGTAATATATTTTTCATAAGTCGCAAAATCTTATCCACAGTAACTTCATCATTCTTTCTCTCTTTTATAACATAAAATAGTTGAAAATGATTAAATTAATTAATGGTTACAGAATTGACGCGTGCGAGTCAAAAGTTGAAATTGTGACTCCATATTGGGCAAGTAACAGCGCCGGAAAGATTCGTGCTATTGTGAATACTCAACACTTCGAGCAAGCTATACATCAAGAAGTATGCTCGTGAGTAATTAACTGTATTATGTACGGACGCGATTAAGCTTGATGTTTTATATAATTTTGATTATTTATATGTTTAATTATATCGATGTACAAAATAAGTACCGCATAGGCTGTGTTTTCTACAGAAAAACGCAAACAAATCGATGCAGCGGAGACTGCGGATGCGAGCAGAAGTACAAGTGGCACAGGTTGCTGGCATACGATCCGGATAACGATTGCAAAGGTATCTTTATGGATTGGTTTTTGTTTCCCTCTTGTTGCGTTTGCAGATGTGATCCAATTCACGGTAATAAATTCCCTCCGTCGAGTGGTCGAAATGAGGGCTAATATTTTGTTTCGAAGGCTTCAATATTCGAATCCGAAACTTCGGTATTAAAATATTCAAGAATCGAAGTTTCGAAGCTGTTAAGAAATTAATAGCTCTACTCGAAATTGACATAGTATCGAAATTGACGTATCTACGCATGAAAAAAACGTGCCATGTAAACTGTGACGATTCATTTCTTTTCAGCATTCTGAAAAATTGTCGTAGCGACAATTAATGGCTTGTGATAAAAGTTGTGTGTTAAGTAGATGTGATTTATCGGCCGATTATTGTTTCAATTTGAAAAATCTTTAGAAAAATTTGATTAGTATTTAAAAATTCAAAAACTTTTTCTATTCGATTTCTCAAACGACAAGATTGCCAGATAAATCACACCGTGTGTGTGCCTATTTAATAAAGAAAAATTTATGTGTCGGATGACAAAGTGAAATCAGAAACAGTTTCACATAATGCGTAGCGTAGAGCCATTTTCGTGATTCAGATTTTATTTATAAGTAGAAAATAAATGTTACTGTTTATAGATCTTTTAATATCGACTAGAATTATAACAAAATGTCATTAGATAGAGTTTATTCCATAAATAAACAACAGGGCGCACAAAGCGTACCCACATTCTTATTTTACTCCGTGAATATATGTACATAAGAGTTTTTTTTCAATTGATCGATTTATTTAATTAATACGTGAATATGCGAACGAACTAAAATAAGTTCTAAGATTAGATTCTCAGGACTTATCACGCCATAGTATAACTTTCTTAAAATAATCACTTAATTTTTACAAATTACGCAACGTAATGATTACACTTTAATTAAGACAAATACAATCTTTTGCATGATCGGAAAGAATACATGCAAACTTTATGAATCTAAGAATAAGAATCGAATGAAAGAAGAGATATTATCATACATGGGAAGTTGTTAATGTTGGCGTGGCCAATCCATTGAAAATATATATTTATCTATTATTCTAATTGCTGGACGGATATCTGATAAGTTTTTGTCTACTTTAACTGCTCGCTGTTATACTTAAAATACTTTTATAATAAAAAGAGACGAATGCATATAAGACATTGCGGGACGAAGTAGTCGTATACGTTCTCAAGACGAGATCAAAATAACCAACCAACATGAAACAAGGTCGACTCAATAAAGATGACACATAATGATGATGAGCCTAATTATTAGAAGCACGGTACAGTCGAATTCTCACAGATGTGGTACATGGTCAAAGTGACAGATATAAAGTCGACTTTAATATGCAGAAAGAAATTCGCACTTAGCTGTAAGTTTTCTTTCAGAAAAATCAATTTTACACATGATTATGTTATGTTTTCCTTTATTATATACTTACAGTAATCAATATTTGTAATTTGTGCACTTCTTATTCATTTTTGTTTCGAAATAATTGAATTCCAGAGCGAGATTATATAAAACAAATTTTTCTTAACTATACTTTTTACACATAGTTTTTTTACATTCTTAACTCGGTTGGCAAAAACAATTGTTAGTCACAAAGTTGACAACATTAAGTATTTGTAACTATTTGTGTAAATCTGTCGTTTTATTAGCTACAAATTATTATTATTCGTAAAATTAAAAAACGCAAAATTTCGATGAGTAGAAAATATAGGTGAAGCACATCAGCGCACCAGCGTAAAGCAGTTGCATTGCAGAAGCGCTTGTCGCAGAATTGCATAAATCGGTGGAGCAGATATGGCATGATTCGACTACATCGCGTCCTGGTTGTGTCATGGAGCTGCCGCACGGGCCGTCATTAATAGTGCTTTCGTCATGATTTGGAGTGGAACACTGACGTATAACAACTCGGTCGCCGTATTCTAAAAATGCCAAAAATAATTATTTATAAACTGTGTAATTATTCATCGCGAAATCTCCGTGATTTTTCATCTCACAGAAGATTAAATTTCTCGAAAAAAATTATATAGTGTTGACGATCGATAAGTAAGTATATACATATGTATCTTTTTCTATAAGAAATGATAAAAGGACGATCTTTTCTGAAAGTGTTTTAACGCGCGTTACGTG